CATATACACCTTATACACATAACTCAAAGTAATTTTATACAATATTTTAAAAATAATTTTGTGCACAAAACAGTTTGTATACCCTGGACCATCAGAAAGCAAACCTGTCACTATCTCAGTCACTCATGTGGATAATCTATAGTTACTTGGCCTCACCAGCATTCCTGCCTCTGAATCTATATGCTACCAATAAGCAATCATTTTCTTACATTTATTCATACATAAGTAATTAATAGTAAAATATATGACATACCATTAATACAATGAAAAAATACTGTGTCAGGTGTAGAACTTTTCACTAGTGATGTCATGCTGGTGCTCAAAAAGTTTCATATTTTGGAGCACTTTGGATTTTGGATTTTTGGATCAGGGATGCTCACCCTTTACTATCACAGTAAGTGATTAAAGGTTTGTTACTTTCATTTTGGCCTGTCTTAATCAGCTACTCTGACACCTGGTAGCACAACTCTCTCCTGCTCAGCCAAGCTTTTGACATTTGCTCTTTCATTTCTTTGTTCAAATGTGACCTTCGTAAGTTGTGGTATTATTAATTTAATGGTTTCCTTCACACCCACTGAAATGTAAACTACAACAAGACAGGAACTTGTGGTTTTGCTAACAGATGTCTTGGACAGGATATATTTAATATCATTTCCTTCTCTTTGGTGCATTTATACCTTAGCTAGTCTTCTATTGCTGTATTTAACCAAACTGGTTAGGAACTATTAAATGTTTACCTCCCTTATCAAGCTATGTATTCCTACATGGCTAAGTTCAGTTTTTAGTAATTAGATATCTAGGGCCTGGCACAAATATTCAACAGAGGTTTATGCAACTGAAACAAAATTGAGGTGGGGAAGAGTTAAGACATTACATAGTGATTTCAGGTATCTAACTTCAAGGAGAAAATAGAATCTAAAGAGGTGTATTTTTGAAATTCATCTACTCACTTGCTCCAAATCAAGAGAGAGCCATTTATCACTTCCTTCTTCAGCTACTGATATATGATACTTGGTTTTGTTTTTAATCATATAAAAAGGAGTAAATGTCAC